CAGGAATGGCTTTCTTCATCTCTTCTGTTTCAGTGACAGAATGAACAGTGGGATCCCTGATCCTTATCACTGTTGATTGGTATAGCTCCATGGACAGAAGAATAATTTTGACTATATCTGTTGGGCCATGTCACAGAGAAGATCCCCTTCTCCCCTTTCCACAGAATCAGTCAGCTCCTCTCCTGAGGCAGTCTCCTTCCTGAGCAGTACAGTTCCTCTACTCATTCTCTTTATCTTGCATTTGCTCACTTTGCTTGAGACTGGTGTAAAGGGGATTTTGAGTGGTAACTGGCAAGCAAAACATCAGAAGCAAACTTTGTCAAAATACACAGTTTCAAAGTCAGTGTGGGTGATTTGCTTTTAAATGCCTTTTCACTGCTTTAGATAGGTGCCTGGAAGAAGCATTTATTCATTATAGTTTTATAAAAGTCATTAAAGACTGTCTTCACAGGAAAAATTCTGAGATTCAAAGGAATTCTGCTACATTTGAGATGTGCTACATTTGACTTTTATTGTGCAATAATGAAGGCAACAAAATACAAATCCCTATAATGAAACGTTACACAAAAAGGACACAGACCTTAAGGTGACACAAACAGGAAAAATGTAATAAACCATGTGTCGTGCTGCTGCAGCTGTTTCGCCTCTTACCAATTTTCACAGTCTATAAAATCTTGGAAAGCACCAGATGTTTAGGGGAACTTGTCCCACTCTCCCTAGCTTTGAAAGTAGATGCAAGATTTACTAGTGCTATATAAATGTGATTTCCATCCTGACTTTTGTATTTATAAACTAGGTGGAACGTGGAACACATCCTGCTGTCAGAGAGCTCATTTACTTCGCTCCTCCTCACTTGCAGATCTTGGGTGTTGCTGGACAATTGTAGTAAGTACAGAACAACACTGGAACATGCAGTCCAAACTACTGTATTGGCTTAGCTACTGACAAATCCATATGAGAGTTTTCTCCTAGTAACAAGTTTTGCCAAAACGACCTTGCAATACACAGATTATGAGCTCAGCAAAAATATCTTGTTTTCTATGAATATGCATTTGGGATTCCTGCCTACGCAGAGACTGTTAGTGCACAAAATCATAATTTTTTTTTAATTTTTTTTTTTCTCCTAGTGCATGGTTCCTAGATTTGGAACAGGGATAAAAACGGCTCATGCATAATTTCCAATCTTTCATAGCTCAGAGGTGCTGTAAAGTGCAACCGTTCATTTTAATTCAGTGAGTAGAAGTTTTGTTATGTTTAGTGCTAAGGGAATTGCATGTGTTACTAGAAATTCTGTGACAGCTGTCAGAAACAGACAACTTGCCACAATTCTGTGTTTCATAAAGGAAGGACTAAGGACCCTCATATTCAGCAAAGCTGTCAGAGGCTTCAAAAATGGGATAAAACAGAACACCTTTTCCAAACACAAGAAAATCTCTGTCTCTCCTTCTCTATTCCCTTCCCCATCAAGTTGCAGAGGGGAAGACGTATAGGTAGAAGAAAGGAAATAACGTCTTGATTCATTTGTACTTTATACTGCCTTGTCATCACTGACCAGAAGGGACAATTGCATAGCAGCCTGCTTTCCTTTAATAAATTAACACTGTGTTTTAACATAATGTCCAAGCTGCATGGAGTTTTTTTTCCAAGAGCAGGAACAATCAAAGTTCGAAATCCATAGTAGAAGACAAAGAGACAAGGGCTTTGCATCAAAGACTCTGAAAATCTGAATCTTTAAGCATTGCCACAATTTCCAGCACATGCCTCACCCTGCACAGCACTCTTCCTGAATTTAAAGCACCAGAAAAAGATATCTTCTCTTAAGACTTGCAGTCTTACCTTCAAGCTTTTGATCTGAAGGGGTGCTTGCCTTAATAAATCCTCTGTTACCTTAGTTACAATGTGGGTTGTTTGTTGTTTTTTTTTTCTTTCTAAAAGCCTACATTATTTTCTTTGATCAGAATTATTTTTTTATGACAAAAGGAAAGTAGCTTATGCAATGCCTTTAACAGGTCAACATTTTTTTTTTTCCCCATCAGCTCCTATGTAGCTTTCTGATGAAAGACTAACTGCTTGTCACACCAGTAATCCCACGGGTACCCCTCTGTACCGTGCTGCTTCTGGTGTTAGCTCCCTTAACCAGTACGAGGTACTGAGACTGCATGTTTGTTTGCATCATTTGTTTATTATTGGTGTTTGAATTTTTGGCTAATGCTATTTTTATGGCACACTCAGTGCTGTTTTTCCCTTCTCATTCTCTGATTCACTTTTCATCCTGTTTTCTTCTCCATATCCATCCTGTACCACCTCTCTGCTGAGTAAAGTGAAAATCCATGAATGAGTCAGAGTCAAATTTTCAAAGTCACATTGGTCAGTGGGGTTTGAAACTAAGCAAAATGAGATTGTTCATATTTTTTATTTCCAAATAACATTTTTTTTTTTTTTTTGCAATTAAGAGTTTTATCCCATATTTTCCAGCTACTTTTATTTTCCTGAAATCCAGTTTAAGCTATGAGACTCCTTAATGACTGGTGCAACTAGCTGTTTCTGCTCTTTCAGTATTTTCAATACCCTGGTTTAATTCCTCATCCTGTCTCCTTTGTATCATCTAAAACAACTTGAAGCTCTTCTTGCTAAATTGTATTCTTCTGGGAGTTTGTTTTTCTAATTTGCTACAGGATATCTGAATAGCTGTCTAAAGGAGATATGTTTCTTGCTTTTTCTCAGTTTACTTGAATGAAGAATTATGTGAATAAAACTGCAACACCATTTTCCCTTAAAAAAGACATATTCTGCGCTCCATTTTAACATTCTTATTGCATGTTTGGTACTTTCTATTCAGGAAACTGAAAGGGAGACATGAACATACTTTATCCTAGAATCAGGAATTAATAATTTCTCATGTATGTAACTTTTTTTGCCTATATAGTACCAGAATTAAGAACAGCAGCTGTTATGATTTATGTTTACTGGATGCCATACAATGTTTTTATCTTCTCAGCTTGCAAGACCCTAGTTGTCAGTTGTAATTCATACTATTTCTGCCACGTTAAGCTTGTTATCAAATCCTCAACATTTCACATATCATGTAACAATTCAGCTCAGAAGCAGTAACACCACACCATTCCTTTTGAGGTAGGAAATATGAAATGTGACTGGCTTGGGGCAGGGGGGAAGAGTAACTTCTTACTGCAAGCCAGGAATTTCAATTGTAAATTGAGGTGCACCTGCAGTTGTTTCATTGCTCATATTGACCAACAGTGTCTTCTAACCTCATAAAATGCTGCAGATGTTTTTTCTATTACCAGCATTTCCTTCCACTAATATTTAAACTCTTCTTACCTATGAACAGACTCCACTCAGTATCCAAATCAGCCTGATTTGCTAGGCAGCCCTTCATTACATTGAGGCAATAGTTGTTGCAAGGTTTCACAGTGGGAAGTCCTCTGCAGTAGGGGCAGTACAACATCTTCATTAACGCCCGGATGCACCCTGGGGTGGGACTGACCTGCAGAGTTTAAGGGGGGGAAAGAAAAAGAAAAAAGGAGGAAATCAATCTCCTGCTCTGTGAATTTTGGGATCACTGAAGTTATGCCTCTCAAGCAGTAAGTGCAGAAGGGGCAATTTGTAAAAAGAGTTTGATCCTTAATAACATTCTCCTATAAGACTAATTCATTCCTGCCAGCTATCTTCATGTATCACAGCCAGCAACAACTTTCAGGAATGCGAAGATCAACACTACCCTACTGATGGCAGTGCCTGGGCTGCCTCCCAAGCCATTCCCCACAAAATCTAGTGGAAAGCAGAGGAAAAACATCCAGACAATCAGCTGGACAGCAACCAATGTGGAAGATCATGAGGAGACCAAACACTCTTCCTACTCAGGCTAGAACTGTCAGTCACGCCATCACCGGAACAGATTCTCTTCTTTATAAAAGCACAGTAAATCCAGGATAATCTTGACAATTTGTGTAAAACTAATCAGAACTGTACCATGACAAAGGGATATCATTCTGTTTTCAGACAAAAATACCCTTCTGTCTTCTCAGACAATTTCATAAAGAGATCAGACAGGGGTGTTTTTTTGTATGCTTTTGACATCTTGAGTGACAAAAAGCATTACTGACAAAAATCTAATCCATTTCAAGTTACATATCAGAATGGCACAACATGGCTGCATGCAGGGAACTTAAATCGCCACCAGAGTCAATGGAAAGACACCCCTTGAGTTTAGGATTTCCATTCAAAGTCATTAACACTGGGTACAGCTGATAGAAGAAACTGGTGTGTAGGCAGAAACTCTTAGTGATATGTGTTACAGTTTGCACTAGAAGGGCATGGGTTTCCTGGACAGGGAGCATAGAGGTTAGAGAAAGGCTTCTGCATAAGGCCTCTCCATTATATCTAATGATTCTTCACCTCATCTCTTTTAGTCATCAAAATGCTGGGCATCTATTCAGCAATGTACCTTCCATATTCAATGGAGAGAAAGTGGTCCTTTTTGGGTCATTTCTTTATCCTAGCTCCTGAAGAGTATGATAAATCATCTTTTGGAGGACACTGTCTGAATCCTCCATATCTAAATGTAAATGGCACAAATTAGTCACACTTGGCAAACACACAAACTCCCATGGGTAAACATTATTTCTTTCATCCTTTGAGGTCCATATTTAGTTGTTTCACCTCAGACTTTCAAAATCGTCTCTACTGTTACAATATATGTTTTCAGGCCAGAAATGCTCTCTTGGATTAAAAGTGCACACAAGGTGCTACTTGCAATAGCATCATGGAATGGTGCAGTGGAGCATAAGCTTCTTGTGCTGGAGTGACAGCTTAGAGCAATGACAAAGGGCTAGGGACTCCTCAGTGATTTCAAAATTCCTGGACAGAAGAGTACAAAGCAAAGGCACTCCTTTCACTCATTCTGTTGGCTTATGAATAAATGCAACACTTTAATATGAATTTTAAGGCATTAAACTGCTTTTCTGTATACACGGTAAATTGTGCTGAAAGCATGAATCTGACTTTGCACTGTAGCAGTAGGTGTAAACGGATGTGATTTGTATTTTCAGGGTTTTACTGAAATGGTACTTTTCTTTTTCTCTGCAATTTCTCCCTTTTTAATGTTAAATCACTGATTTTTTGAGAACTGTGCCAAACATACTCTTTACACTTGACATTTTTATATGAATATGGATCTGTAAGGAGTTACAGCAGATGCTTCTGAATATGCTCAGAAGTGATTTTTTTTCCCTTGGTTTCCTAGGGAAATGCACATAACTAGCAAAATACTGACGGTGTGCGTGAAGGTAAACTTATCCATCCTTTTTCAATAGCTTTTGAACTTCTGGCCAATTTCAATCAAATTTGACTGAGGACTTGAGTCCTAGTGCATTAAGATCCTACAAGTTTTGTTTTGTTTTGTTTTGTTTTTAAATAGACAGGTGGGAGAAGAAAAGGAGAGGCTCTATTGCTGCCTTTATTGAGGAAAAGGCTGAAGCATGAGGTCAGCTTCTCACAGGTATCAAAGAATGCTGCTATGAATGACCCACAGGTTAAAAAAGCACCAGGAGGAATTCTCACTTTATTAAACAGTAGAAAATCCAAACACAAGAAAAGCCAGACTTCATTATTTCTACCATTCAGAGCTACTTTTCCAAGTCCCTTTTCCAACTATTTTATCTTTATACTTCCAAGACTAGAACAGGGCCAATCTTACAAAAAGATTAGCACCAAAAGTGGGTTGTAAGAAGAATACTTACTTGTATGGTCAACAACAGAATCTTCAAAATGGGTTTGGAATTGCTTCTTAAAGTCAAAGATATTTCTAGCTGTGGGTGCTGAGAGTTTTATCAGCGAATTTCCTTTTGTGCTTACAATTATTATTTTCCCCAGGCCCAGAAGTCTTGCCAATGCACAGTTGTCAGCACCCTAATTTCATCTGGAATTTGCATGTTCACCTATCAGCACACTCCCAAGCCCACTTGAGTACTTGTGCTAACAGCAAATATACCTTTAGGATCTTCACCTTTCACAAAACTTCCTGGCAATTTCATTCTCAAAAACCATAAATAGAGGAGAAAAGAGACTCCCTGTCTTTATATTACATTTATATAAAGCAAATACCATAAATATTTATGTGAGCCTTATTTTATCACAAGTTCAGCCTGAAAGGTAACTATCTATCATGTCTTTCTCTGCCAGAAGTCCATATCATATCCCTGATCTGCCAGGACAGGACCTTAAAGGACAGTTAAAAAAATCTATTTACACTAGCCCAGTGAATCTTGAATTCTTGTTGCATTACAGAACAGATTTAACCAGAGTACCCCCAGACACAATCCACTGTGGAGTATTCAGGGTAAATTCTTACCACTCACAACGAATGACCATGACACAGGTGTCTCATATGTTGTCTGAATGTTTTAATATCCTCTGTACAAAATGGTGGCACCATCAACAGCAAGAACAAGAAAGCAAGATGCCTTGCTTTTGTTTAGAGATAAGTAATGCAGTTTTTAGGGTAAAAGGCCAAACTGCAACTCTAAGCAGAAAGCAGATGGAGAACGCTTCTACAGAAGCCTCTGACATATCTACATCTGCCTCTGAGAAAGACCAACACAAGCAGCTCCTTGCTGATTAACCTGGATGTTGCAGACCTGTTTCAGAAGATGCTATGCTGGTGAAATAAGATACAGATCGATTGCACTCTCCGAGGCCAAGTAGCAGGGACTGCCCTATATTCTGATACCCATATCCCATACTACTACATAGTTCTGGCACTTCACCTCCTCTGGGTTCTATCTGGTACCTGAGTAACTGAAATGCACAATTATTTTGTGTGGCTATTTTCCAGCTTAAAGTATCTGGAATAATAGGAGACTCCTGCAGGCAACAGATGTAAAGGGAAGCTGAATATAACATGTGTTTTGAAGTGAGACAGAAGTTTATGTTTGATAGTGCTCAGATGGCACTTGGATTAGCATTGGAAAGAAGAGAAGGGACCAAAACAAGACAGGTATTTTAATGCAGCTTTCTGGAAGCAGTCTCTGGCTTCCAAACTGCACAGGCACAGACTGAAGAGAGCCAGATGAAGAGGTCGAAAACACCTTAGGAGGAAGGCTAACAATTAAGCCATGACCTGAGCACACAATGAGTCCCGTTCTCAAGCTTGCTCCATGCTCGCCTGTCACTTAGCAGTACTCATGTACCTTTAGGTGACCAACCCTTCCCATCTGTGGCACAGGGAAAAACTGAAGTAACTCAGCTACTTGGGAAGTCTGAAGGCTAAAAGTTAACTGCTGTATTACAGCAGTTAAGTGTCTTTGTGAATCTAGCCTCCAGTGAGCACCCAAGTTTCACTTCTCAGCTTCAGCTGTGTTTTTTTTTCTGTACCTTTCTTTTCAGAGAATTCAGTCAGGTCTTTTTCATCCCTCAACAGTGCCAGAAGTATCTTTGATGCAAAAAAAATAATCAAATTTTGCTCTAACATTCTGAAAACTTGGTAAAAAACAAGGGTAAAAATATTTAGGTTAGAGCATGAGTATTTCAGAAAGCCATGAACACATGAAATCCAGAGATTACCACAGAAAGTTTATTTTCAATGACCTGTGATTGGCTTGCTACATCTTGCTACTGGCAAATTCTATGAAATGTATTTTCAAAGCCCATTCCTCATTCCTATCTTAAAAAACATATTTAGAGCCTATTACACCTCATAATATTTTTCTGCAGACCAGTCAAAAGGCAGATACTGATTTAATTCAGAAGTATTCAAAAACTGCATTTGCTGAGGAGAGCTGTGTCTCAGCTCAGGTGTTTCAACATTTTTTCTGCAAGTAACATTTGTGGATTGATACATCTTGGTTCATTGTTGGTTTTGTTTGCTTGTTTTTGTTTTTATTCTTTTCCCGGTTGTTTTTTTTTTGTTTTTTTTTTTTGTTTGTTTTTTTTGTCTTTTAAAATGCATTACAATTGCTTCTGTGCTAATCACAGTAGAGGAACTTGCATAAACTCTAAAGTTCAGAAATAACTAGTTCTTATGTAAACCATATATTACAAATCAAGGAGATCCCACTGAATAACATAACTGGGGAAACCGCTATAGAGGAGTCATTAATTATATCATGTTGGTTCCCTGACTGACTAGGACATCTTTATTTTAGTGTAAGCATACATGGAATCAGCGGATCAGCAAAGTGCCTTTCTGAGCTTTGATTTAGCCTAGTAGCTGCAGGACATGTTACTTTAGTACATTTTGTAACCTTTTCTGACAGCTTCAGCTTGATCTAAATGCCTGGTTTTGCATACATGCAAAAAAATCACAAAGCAAGATTTTTAAGAGCTTCATTGCTGAACACTTGTTTTCCCCCTCAGAAATTCTAGGAGGAACATTATTTAATATAGAATATAAATAATTGAGGGGAGAAGTTCTTTGGGTAAAAGCCATGAAATTGCATTCTCTTGAAACACTGCATCTGCAAAGACTGCTTTGTTATGTACTTGACC